ATCATGCTTAGCTTGAAAATTAGTGAACTTACAAGATAAACTAAAGCTAAAAATTCAGCAAGTACACGAGTGAAAACTGTCCTACAGGCCCAAATTCCTGCCAGACAGTTTGCTATCTTGTTGCAACACGCCCACAGAGCTCCACAAAATAAAAAAGAAACAGATCATACTTTATATCGGAGTAAATTTGCTTAGTTTGTCCCGATTCTGAGGTATATGGAGTTGTTCTAATATCCTGCTTTTATTTATGACACTTTCTTAAGCTGTTTCCTGTGCTGTTGTCCACAGTCTCTCTAAAGAGGGTCCCAGACTCCTTCTGTTTTGCGTCACAAATGACACTTTTCTCAGCATAATCACGTTTTTAGCAAATTCTGTGTTTATCATACTTAGCCCGAACACTGGTGAATTTGCAGGCTGATCTAAAGTTAAAAATCCAACAAGTGTATGTTTGCAAACTGTCCTGCAGGCCTAAATGGAATTTGCTCTCTCAGTCCCGGGGCCTGATCTGCTGATGTTTATCTCTGCCTCTGAATCACTATGGCTGTGATCAGTTCAATGAATGAAGCTCTGCACATTGTCGGGTAACACTTTACTTGAGGGGACACAAATACTTATTAGTAACTCAGTTACTACTGAAGTAGAAATCATGAACAAATATAGTTGCTACTTAAGATGAAAGATGTGTCATGATTCATTAATGAACAAATATGACAGTATTTCAATTGTGTTATTCGTAGCTTGTTCCTTCAATAGCTCCTCAGTCATTCCTTCAGTAGCTCACTAAGACTTACAGAATTAACAGATACAGTAACAAATATAGTAACTGTTAGGATAAATGATGTCACAATTCATTAATGATGAACAAACACGAGAAGTATTTTGCATGTCTTACTCATTATTTGCTCCTACAGTAGTTCCTTCAGTCGTTCACAAAGACTTACATAATTAACGGATATAGTAACAAATGCAGTACTTGCTTGAGATACAGGATGTGTGACAATTCATTAATGATGAACAAACATGACATCGGTTTGTAACTAACGCTTAGTTTGTGGTTAATTAACACATAAGTAATAGCATAATACTGCATTATTTGTGTCCCCTCGTGTAAACTGTTACCCTCTGTCACACTCTTAGAGCCACGTAATACAACTCAGTAACCCTCCAGCAAAGCACATCATATTTTTTCTGTGAGATGTCCTGAATACAGTGGTGTAGTGTTCTCCATGCCAATGTGTGTGTGTGTGTGTGTGTGTGTGTGTGCCTTTAGCGGTCACCTGCTCGTTTCACAAGTACTAAAGCTGTATGTTTTATGCCACTGGCATTGCCTAACACAAACTCCGCTTTCCCAACAATACCGCCCAACAGTTCCACTATACAGGTATTTAAACAGATGAAGTGGGCAGTATTGGTGGAATGACCTCAAACGTCAAACGAGACGCAACTGGAATACGACAGCAGCATTTGAAGGTGGACCTGTAAACCCTGTTTCGGTATTGCTGTGACTACATTTCAGATCTTTAGTTATTAGCGTTTTATTTTATTCCAGCTCCCTCTGATCTTCTTCAGTACATCTTTTTTATTCTGTCTATCCTATCTGTGTCTCTTTTTCATCTCGGTAACGCTTTTGCATGGTGCCGTTTCATGTTGCTTTCCAGCTCGTTGATTCCTCTCTGGACTTAGAAGCTGCCGGAAGGATGAAGGCCATAGTGC